AAATTTATTTTAGCATCTGAAGCTCTATTCAAAGAAAGAGTAAGCACAAAAAATTTGCCTAGATATTTAAAAGAGACTGAGATAGTTTGGTTGCTCCTGTTTTCCCCAGTGCTGCCTAAAAATTTTTCGAAGAGGCTAAATCACAAACTTCGAGCAACTGTAACTCGCAAACAAAAAAGAGATTAGAAAATTCCCACATATTTTTTAATCTATGTACTTTTCTCTACCTATCAATGCTAATCTTGACCACATAGAGTGAAACACGAAGATTTGGCTAGGAAAAGTGGTACATTCTTGAAAATATTCGGCTTTTGCTACCACGGATTGCTATGAAAACACAACGGAGCTAAATAAATTATCTTTTTCTCAAAGCTTAAAAAGAATTATAACTCAGGAGAGCTCAGTAAAAAAGATATTGACTAGGAATTAACAGGAATTTTCGTGACAGAATGACAACCCAACTGCATAGTACCCGCCTACGCAAGCGTGGCGAGTCCAAAAAGTATTCTAATTATGTGGTCTACACACAATAATGAGTACATGTCCACTGTACATGTATTTACAAATTTACTGTACATGTAGTGTGGAGCTTGGACAGTAGTTTGTCTGTCTGTGGTAACAAAGTTGTTTGCCACATTATTAGATCACTATTAAAAATATTAATAATAATAATAATATATTTGATATATATTGATGTCCTTATGCTGTGTAGAAAGTTTGAGCTGTTTCCGACAAATATTTTTTGAGTTAAAACCATTTAATAAATTGGCCCAATTCTAAAAAATGCCCATGATTCTTCCTTAAAAATGGTTCCAAAATCACCCCAAATTTTTATTACATTTTCTGGAACATATTGATGTACTTATGCTGCATAGAAAGTTTGAGCAGTTTTTGACCAATATTTTTCGAGTTACAGGATTTAAAAAGCTTTGCCAATCTCATAGAGACTTTGACACAATTTTTGAACAACAGTAAATTACAATTATTGTCTCCTAGTTATAATACTACCTTAAGCCTACTATTATTTGTGTCTACTAATTTTAGCGAAATCAGCAAAAGTCATGTTTAGCGTTACTAATTTTAGCGTTTTTAACCAAATTAACTATAAATAATAATCATTATAATGAATAATAATTATTTTGACGTCTATTTAATTTAGCGATTTAAAGCTCTCTTGCTAATATAGCTAAATTTAGTAAACGATATATCACTTACAATTATTCATAAGTCCAGAGCCTTCAGCCTGAACTTCAGCAGCCTAGACTGAAAATAACATGATATCAACTCAGTATTACATTAATATTATATAAAAGGATCAGTAATTCTTAAATAAACTTACAATGGAGCCTTTAGTTCATTATTCATGGACATAGAGCTTCCTACATTTCCTTAAATGTATTTTTAATTTAGACCACATTTACACGACTACATTTTAAACAAAAACGAAAATATTTTTGGTTGGGTTTACACTGATATCAAATCCAAACAAAATAAAAACAAATACTAAAAGGAATAATTCTATAAACAAATGATAAATTCTAATGACAATGCAGCTGCTGGATTAGTGTAAACACCTGAAACAGGAATAACAAAAGTAATGTGGTGGAGTCGTGTAAACATGACCTTATTTTTTAAGAATTATTTTTAATAACAGCATAGTACAGAGTATCATTAAGAATATTTTTAAAATAACTAGTTTTATAGTAAAAAATTAATGTCAATAACTTTAAAGTACTAGTTTATATTTTGGTTCAATTCATTAGCTTACTAAATAATAACATTAACAACAACAGCAATAATAATTTATAATAATAAAAAGAATAATAAGAATTATAAAAATAAAAGTAAAAATAATAGCAATAATAATAACACACATTGACAAAAAGAATTATGATAGTTAACAATAAAAGTGTTACTAATGATAAGTAATATCAATGCATATAAACACATTCAATAAAATTTAATGTATAAAAGCTATGGCATGTAAAAGAAATCTCATTTCAATAAAAAGTGGAGCAGAAACAAGTACACAAACTATTAATGCTCATAAACAATACAACATAATATACAATACAACAATGAATGATTTATAATAACAAAAATAAGAATAATAAACCAGAGGAAATCATCATAATGCTGCATATTGTATAACAACTACCAATAGAAATAATAAATAAATACTGAGCATTACTTTACTAAAAATAAAAAACATCATCAAAAATAGAAAAAATTGCCCTGCTGCAAAATGAAAAATTACATAACAAGAAGTCTCCATTATTCTTGAAGGTATTAAAGTTAATGAGAGAGAGATTTGATGCCATAGTGTTAATATAATGAAAAAAGGAAACAATCGAATGTGTTTGTGTAGAAGTGAAGGTGTAGTAGAGAATGAGTGTGATGTGGTGAATTGGTAATACGTACAAAAGAATTGAAACGATTCCAAGGAAAACGAACAAGACAAACAAAATGAACAAAGTACAAAATAAGAAACTAGTCTAATTGCATGGTATTGTAGCTTAAGAAGGTATAAATGAAGGACGAGGTTTAGTAGCTATTGGTGCTAACTGTCTTCTTTCTGCTTCTTCGACAAATTCACGAACTAATTTTGATAAACTCATTCTAGC